GATGCACTGTTTAAATATCTATATTTTAGAAAGCTCAAGATGTTTAACTATAGTCTTCAAACATTCATAGAACCAATTTACAGCTAAGTGAATGCATACAGACTGAGATATGGCATATGCCATGAGGACATTCTTTATACATAGCAGCTCTCAACTTGTGAGCTATGTTTAAGAATCAATGTCCATCCCCAACTTGAATAGTAAATTATCCCAGCTCAGCTACAAACTAGCAGACAGTGCCAAGTTCTGCTTTTGGGAAAACAGACTTCACCTCTGTCTGTAATAGCAACGTTAATTTAGGATCTACCGTGTCAATCCAACTGCCTGCTGTTGTCTTCTTAGCTAATTCACTCATAGCTTAGCAGCAGATGTTGGGAACTCTCCTAAAACAGTTTCCAGAGGAACTTTCCCTATCCCCAGTGTAATTGTTGAAACCACCAATTTCCTGTGGCTTTAACCTGAGAAGGAACAAAGGAATTTCTGTATTGATATACTCTGAAGTAACCTATTTTGGGGAAAGATCTTAAAGCTTGAAAACAAACTATTCTAAAAGCCACATTAGCTTGACAACTCTGCTCTACTGGTGATGGAGAGCATCCTTAAAAACTAGGTTATTGAATGCAGCTACGTGATCACTTTCCCGACAAATATTCCCAAGGAATTCAACAAAGCATGCTAACTAGTAGCACAAGTTATATTTAAGAAAAATTATGCCCTTTAGACCTAAATTAGAAATTACTTTTTACTCAGTTGTGTTAAGAAAAAGGTATCAAAATGTCATAATTTTAAGGTTTGTTTGTTCTCAAACAGCAGTTCCAAGCGAGTTGTCCCATCTTTAAACAGGACATTTCCTTGCCCAGTTTACTTCTGCTAACTCCTTTGTAGATACCATGATCAGCACTAAACTTCCACGTATGGAGGCTCATATTAACTAACGAAGAGAGTCAGTCTTCAGAAAACAATTTTAACATGTGCCGTAAGCTATGCCTAGGCTGCCTATCTTACCCATAGTGCTAACTCACTGCAGGGAATGAAAAAAGGGCTGCAGGACAAGCAAGCAAAGGAATAACATTAGTATAATAGAGAAATTCATATTTTCTTTAGAGAATTTTGACCATGTCAAAGAGTCTTGCTTTCACAAATTTGATGAACTCTCATCAGATTCTGCAGTTTTAGTAGTAATACTTCATATAAAATAAAGCCTTAATACAGTTGTCACATTACACAAATATTTGCATGGAAGCAGAAATCAACCTGTGATATGGATGTACCCAGTCACAGCTCAGGAAGGACACAGTCAGTTCTGCATTAGGTTTCAGATATGTATGCTCTAGAGGAACACAGGACAGCATGAAGGAGTCTAAACTCAATGCTTCCCTTCCCCTAGCTTTTTTTCATTTTTAAAAATATAGAAGCTACAACAGTCCAGGGCAACATTATCCCAAACCTGTCCCGGTTAAACTCTGTTATTAGTTGTACATTATCAGGCATTTTACAAAAGTAACTGCATTTGGTAAGTTTTATTTAAAAGAAGCAAGAAGAAAGCATGAAGCATATCTATACTCTTTTAAAGACAGAAAAACCACACAGCTGATCACACCAAAATACTGAGATGAGGAAACTAGTTATTTGTTTCCCTGCTTTGGATTCCAATACTATGTACTGTCACCACTGAAACAACTTTTTAAATAATGAAGATAGATTATGAATATGCCATTTGACTATTCACTATGAGGCATGGTTTGGTTTGTTAAAGGTTTGGATTTTAGCTACCACTAGTTACAAAGTATTAATGGACAAGACTTTGAGCAACCTTGTTTAGTTAGTGGAAGGTGTCCCTGTCCATGGCAGGGAGGTTGGAACTACATGATCTTTAAGGTCCCTTCCAACCCAAACTGTTCTACGATTCTGCAATTCTATTTCAACAGAATAATCCATGATAAGAAACTGCTCCATTAGAAGACATATAAATGGATGCTCATGCTCTGTTACTTCACTGACTGCTTCTTGTGCCCCATTTGTCAAACTGCAAAGGAGAGCATAAAGAAAGGATCTTAAATTCTACAAAATTCATTATGTGTTTTAGAAAAGTGAACTCACATACCAACATTTAGTTTCAAGATACAGAGGGATTATGTGATTAGAATCCCACTGGTTTGCTGGGAGGATTCAGCAATATAACTACAAATTACTTAGAGGGCTAGTGTCAAAAGGACCTCTGTACTTATTTAGCCTCTGCTCTAGATTACTGACCCACTTATGAAGAGCTAAGCACCCCTGCTGTGCAATGTCAACACCCACTCCATCTGTTTGCTTCTGCTTTCTCAGAACCTCTATTAGTCTGCAGAAATTCTGTTAATTACTACATGAGCAGTTTTTGCATAGCTCACACAGTATCAGCCTCACTTAGTATGTAGTCACCTTGACAAACAGCATAGAAATAGAGCAATCCTAACTCAACAGGATTATCAATGACATACAGTAATATATAATATGCAGATTTCTGAAGAGGCAATTTAATACAACCATTGTCCAAGCTGCTCTCAGTTTTGAGAAAAGCTTGTAGGTGTTTAGTTGCTTTAGGTTCCAATGACAAAAAAGTATACTAGAGTTAAGTACTGTATCAAACTCTGGAAATCTCCAAGAGGACCAGAAATTTGTGAAACCACAACTGAAACTTCTGTTGAGGGAATAATGCAACAGTGGCAAACAGAAGCATCCCACATCACCTGTCAATATCTACACTGAGTATTAGTAAGTAAATCTAAAGCAAGTTAAAAAAACCACACAAAACCAAACACAAAGACCCCCCCCCCAAGTAGAACAAGGTTTGGAAAGTTAGCCCAGCTACCACATCAAAACTACATCTCAGCATCTTGGCACCTCAAACTTCCTGCTGACTAGGAAAGAAAAAAGTTTCAAATTTAGCATTTTATTATTTTTCCTTGCTGATCTACAGATCTTTAAGACATTAAATGGGTCTCAAACAGCAGTTTCGTTAATTTACTAAATCCAAGAACAAGAATCTCCAGAAGTCATTATAGTACTGAGTTGACATTTGTTATTTTTTGGGAACCCAGACTACTGCTGTCAAAGTGAAATAATATCAACAGTCCAAAAGCCAACTATGAAACTCAAGAATTATGGCAACACTGATATCATCTCTTAATACCCTTAATACCAAAGTCATTTCTTAATTTAAAATTAAACCTTGCACAATAGTCAACATCACTTCAAGAGCTCTCTTGCTACTGGCTTGCTCCTAAGGTAGTCAAGAAAAGTAAAACCTAGGTCCAGTCCTTTTTACAGCTTACTGGAAGATAGAGGAGAACAGTGAGTGCATCATAGCCCAGCAAGAACTGCTGGTCACAACATGGAGGCTTTACAGAGTATCACAGAGTTTCGTATTCTGTTATTATTTACTATGTCACACAAAAGGTCATGCAAGCAGGAGGACATACCCAAAGTAGACTAGGAAAACAGTGATATATTAGCATACTGTTTGTATCTTCTAAAAAAATATTTGACAATTATTCTTCTGAAATAGCAATATTTACTGCCCCAGTACCCTTGCAGGAGAGCTCTAGAAGATACAAATTTTATATCAAGTGAATCTCTATATGGCATATTTAGCTTCTGTCATATGAAACACCTCCCAATTAAGCATTTTGTCTTTGTCATGATAAAGACTTGCTAAATATAGTCATCTTATGTCAAGAAATACATACCCCTACAGGTTCCAATCTTAGTCTACTGATATACACTAAGACAAGAAAGAGTTAATATTTTATTTCCAATTGTTTTCTAGCCAGCAAAAGGAAGAAAGCAGAAGGGAAACCCAGAGAATTTTGGGACTGCTCTAGGGAAGAAAATACAAGCAGAGGGCAACATTAGAAACAAAAGGTGAATAGAAAAGAGAAAACACAAAGTAGTCATTTATTCAGAGCATACTCATGATTTTCCCAGACAGTTGTGTCAAATCTAAAAAAGAGAACATTAAAACCATTATCAGATAACAGTTATAACACATTTGATACATGGAAATCATTACTGACACCAGTCAAATCTAGTTTGCACTATGATTAATACAAAGTTTAAAAGTAGTTGGGATGAATGTGCTAATATAGAAATTAAGGTCATAAACCAGATGCAGTTTCTCTCCCCTAAAAATTATTTTAAGTGTCAAGGCGCTAAGTGTCCAAAATATTTCCATGCCACCAGACCCCCTTTTCATAGAAAAATATACCTGTGAAGTGATTTGATACTTATGTTGCACATAATGAGCTTGCACAGGCACCTTAGTGGGATTTCCGTACAACATGAACCGAAAACAGCCTGCATTATACTTACAAACATAACCCTTGCCCCTCACACAGCAGTTGCTATGAATTAAGTTGAGAAAGTCAAAGGGGTAGAATGTAAGCCATTCACCTATATGTATATACATATCAGGAGCAGAAGAGCAGTTCTAGAAATACCCCAAGTTACTAAATAAAAAAGCATTTACATTAACCAGTAACAAATAATTAAAATGGTCTTCAGACAGTCTGCCTCCAAAGACAAAACTTCACTTCAAAAGGGAGAACTGATGCAGCTTGTACAACTTAAATGAAACTACAACAAAATAATTAGATGACTGAAGGAAAAATTAGTCTTTTATTTTTAAAGTGAAAGTGTAGGTTCAAGTATGCCCCTCTGATTATAGACATGGTTATTAAATAAAAGCATAAGGTAGTGCTACAAATGAAGAGCTGTGCCAGGCACCACCAGAATACATACAAATTGGAATCTATGTAGTTATGAAAACGTATGAAATTGTAACTTTACAAAGCATGTGATTCAGTTGTAAGCAAGTACTATATAAAACAAAAATAGGTTTTAAAGATTTTGTAAAGAATCAGAGCATGCAACTGATTTTTTAATAATTTGTTCAGATAGCCTAAACATCCATTTAGTTATTTTTAAGTGGTTGTAACAATTTCAAACACAACAGCGCTTACCTTGGTATGGTCACACATTTTGTACTGCAATTCTGAGTGGTAATTGCCTTCTCAAGCTCATCCAGCTGTCCTGTTTTCTTTAGTTTCTTGACCAAGCTTTTCACTGCTTTTTCACACCACTTTTCATCCTGACCATTCTGCTCACTACCAGCAGCCCCTCCAGCAGATTTTTTCCACCCCAGAAGTCTCTTCACAACTGGTGGAGTGAATGGCAATATGGATGACATGACTTTCACCAGACAGAACACTCAGCAAGCAATAAATTAGATTCCTGTCTGATCCCTAAAAACACAAACCAAAACAGACACATTAGCACTGAGGTTTCACATGAAACAAATACCATAGGACACTGCATCCTAAAACAAGTCAGATAATAGTTCAGATAAGTCTGCATCGTGATTAGATACTTAACCAATTAAGTTCATATGCAAGTTTGCTGCAGACTCTTTAACAGTTAGGACAGACTAAGGTTACTGTTGGATTAGACATTTAATTTTTCCTCGAGTCTTTCCTGGTTAAATCAACTCCAGAAAAATACACAAATTAACTTTAGTCTAGCTTTGCACCTAGGCTGGTTGGGTCTATTCATTTATTAAAATTTTCCACAAGTGATTGACAAACTGTATACACATATATGCATGTTCTGCCCATGTCCAAATTAATTTAGCAAGCAAAATTGAGTTTGGAATGTCATTTAGTCATGACAGTTTGACAGAATTCTTCCAACAGCCCTCCATTTCACAAGCCTCTCCTCATTGTTTATCATGCTTTAAATTACCAATTTTTGTTCTACTGTGGACACCAATTTGAAATTTACTCATAAAGTTGGTAATAAGTTTATTCCCATCTTTCAATCTAGAGTTCAATGGCCTACAGATAATCAATCTTCTCAACTGGCAGTGCTCAAAATCATCAAGTCTTTCAAAATTCATTAAAGGATAGTTGAAATCTTAGTTTGCAGGCACCTGGGTAGTAGAATTGTTTGTTTTCAACTTTGATAGCCTTTTAGTATCAACTACCTGATCAGGATGTTTTATATAAAATGAAATATTAGAAGAGATGCTGAAATTTGGGCTACATTTAACATTCGCTGCAATTTGCACTTCAAATCATTCAAAAGAAAAATTATAGCCATTTAGAAAAAAAAAATCTTGTTTTTGAAGCTTCTATTAGGTTACTTCTAGGTATTAAAATATAAGCCCCAAACCAACCATGCAGACAGCTGTTAGAAATTGCTTGAGGACATAACGGTCCTATGTAGTTTTCTGGGATCAAGGAGACAGAGGTTCCAATTAACAGGGACTCAAGATTAACACTGGTAACTTTATGCAAGCTATTCAAAATAATCTATCCTAAACCAGAGAATCATAAAAATTTTCAAATTAAACACTGACTAGGGCACTCGGGGTACAGTTTCATAGGGAGGCAAGCCAACGCAACAGCTTCCAGCCGCAGGAAGCATAGCCCTCCTTCCTTTCTTCCCTGTGACACCACCACGCCCCCAGCACCAGTGCCAATACCTTTCCACAAAGACTCAGCTAGATAACCAAGTAAAAACTGATCCATTTCAAATTAAGCAGTCTTACACTCCCTTTTTCACACGTTCTGAACTGTTTGTAAGCTTGGAAGTGAAACACATTAGACCCCTAATGCAGTACACTAACTCCAGAGATGAAACAGGAGGCTTGCATGGTCTCTGTTGTTTTGTAAAACACTCACTAGGTTTCTGAAACAGGGAACAGCAGTCACTCTGAGCTTTATAAAAAGACTTCAACATTTGAGCAAGGTCAACAGTAGATGCTTCAGAAGCATATGCAAGAAATTGAAAAAGACCAAATCAAAGAAGATAGCCTCTTTCGCTTTAAAGATCCCATTTTAAACACTAGCAATTGATGATATAATACTTGAACATTAAATTCAGTGTTGAAAGATGTGGGCAACCAAGTATCACTATCACTGTTTATCCACACACCAATTCTCCCCATTTATGAGGTTCACTGACACATAATATACATATTTCCTGGTTTTTAGCTTCAAATTTGACCTTTCAATGCCCCAGAATACTCCTGTGAGTGTCAGTCTCATAAAACACTTCAGTAGGGTGTCATTTACCACCAAGGTAAATTGCCTATTCTTCCAGGCCCTCCAAACATTCTCAATGCTTTTATACATTTTTTCAGCTTTACAATACTCCTTGTGATGAGGTGTCCAATTTTGCAGTATTCTCTCCTTTAAGACTGATCTATGTATCATTTTCTGTATTCTCTGGTGTTTTTTTGTTTTAAACCAAGATTTGCCTTTCTGCTTCAAATGCGCATTTGAGAAATTAAAGTCTTGCAGCAGAAAAGAATTTAGAAGCCCCATACATTTCGGTTTTTCTTTATATTTGAACTCTCATACTATTTTGACATACTCGGAGGGAAAAACAAATATAAATCTTTCTTTTCCCATTTCCAAAAGACTCTAAGCTCAGACCTAACTAATCAGACATTCCCAGATACTATACTTAGTTTTAACTTTAGGAGAAACCCTTAAAGCCATACAGCAGGTGAAAATTGGCAAGGCAGCTGGGATTGATGGAATTCCACCTGAAGTCTGGAAACATGGGAACCATGCACTCCATGATAAATTTCACGAGTTTGTGGTGCGTTGTTGGGAACTAGGCAAACTACCATCAGACCTTCGTGATGCAGTCATCATCACCTTGTATAAGAAGAAAGGAGTTAAATCAGACTGCTCAAACTACCGTGGTATTACTCTGCTCTCCATTGCTGGCAAAATCCTGGCAAGAATACTCTTGAACAGACTAATACCCGCTATAGCTGAAGGAATTCTACCTGAAAGCCAATGTGGTTTCAGAGCCAACAGAAGTACCACAGACATGGTATTTGTTCTCAGACAACTGCAAGAGAAGTGTAGGGAACAGAACAAAGGTCTCTATGTAACCTTTGTCGACCTCACCAAGGCTTTCGATACTGTGAGCAGAAAAGGTCTATGGCAGATTTTGGAACGTTTAGGTTGTCCCCCCAAGTTCCTTAAAATGATCATCTCACTCCATGAGGATCAGCACGGGCAAGTCAGATATGGCAATGCACTTTCTGAGCCCTTTCTAATAACTAATGGTGTGAAACAAGGCTGCGTTCTCGCACCAACCCTATTCACAATCTTTTTCAGCATGATGCTCCAAAGGGCCATGGCAGACCTCGATGATCAGGACGGTATCTACATTCGATACCGTACTGATGGAAGCCTATTCAACGTAAGGTGACTGAAGGTCCATACTAAGACCTTAAATCATCTTATCCGGGAGCTGCTTTATGCTGATGACGCTGTCCTTGTCACCCACACAGAAGCAGCTCTGCAGCGTTTAGCATCCTGCTTTGCAGACGCTGTTGAGCTCTTTGGGCTGGAAGTCAGTTTAAAGAAGACAGAAATTCTCTATCAACCTGCACCTCAGGAAGTCTTCCATCATCCCCATATCACCATTGGCGAATCAGAGCTCAAATCAGTCCAACAGTTTAATTACCTAGTATTGTGGTTTGAAGCTGGCTCCCTGCCAAGTCTCCAAACCTCACCACAAAGTTCTCTCGCGCATGCGTGAGAACTTTGGAAATCCCCTAACACATGCGCAGTATGCTTTGGGGGTCTTTCTTAATTGAGTCTGGGGCGCTACTTCATCCTCCTCCTCCTCAATCTCTCCTTCAAGCGACCTGGGAGGACAATTAGCCAATCACAGCACACCAATTAAAACAGTTTATACAAGAAGCTCTCTTCAAGGACAACTTTCCCGTTTATCAGTGCTTGTTTTCCCATAACTTGGCAGGGAAAGAGTAAAACTTTCACAGGTGGCGGGGCCAAACACAGACCAAAAGTATCAGCATAATTAACCCCTGATACACTCCCCAAAAAAGGGCAATTGAATTACCCCCCCAGTCCTGTGAATCTGTTCAGTGAAGAGTTTCCTTACGGGACACCTGACAGACTGATTCGGACATAAAGGGTTTTGGTTTCCCTGGGGCACTGACAGACAAATAAATCACTGAGGGTTGAGAAAAATCTCCCCTCTTTAAGGGTCGGGCAAATCCTCCGCTGTGCCCCCCCCCCCCCACATGACTGCCAAGAGTATCAATAAGAATTTCACTAAGTTATTCCATTAGTGGCCCCATATCTTTCAAAGGGTGAGCAGAGAGAATGTGACACAAGTAGGACTTCATTCATCTTAATACTTCAGCTGATTGTGATGACTACTCACAGGAGAGTGGCACTCTGCTCCAAGCCTAGAGACAGTGCAAAGCACAGTGAGGTTGAATTATGAGCAATTTGGATAAATACAAATTATGCAAGGAAAAAGTAGCAATAAAGAAATTAATAAGAAATACCCTACTCTGTCAGGACTGGTGCATCTGGCCAACTTAGTGCTCCATCTCCAAAGACGGCAAAAGGACACGCTACTCAAGGAAAGCACAAGAACCTGTTTTCTGAGCCCATTCTCCTCATAATTCTTCAGCATCTTAAACTTTTACAGCAGGAAATGAAACGCTACATTCCTACCTCTTCCCTTTAGCAGCCATTTATGGACCCACTGTCAACAAATTCATCTAACCACTTTTTGAACCTGCCTCCACAATGTGGCAGACTGCACCAGAATTTAACTGCCTACTGTTTTAAAGAACTACTTTTAGCTATTTTCTTTATCTTCCTAGTTTCAAAAAGTGCTTCGTGGTCTACTGTTGCAAAATGTGGAATATGTAAAATTTTCTTAAGAAAGGATGTTCTTTGATGTTTGATCTTTGTATACTTTCAAGCCTAATCAACTAGAAGGGAGATTGAATCCATGAAACAGACAGCAGCTAACAAGCTCTAAGTGATGTCCAGGTGTTAGAAAGACAAATTAGTTGTCAGTAGAATTACCTTGTTAAGGTTTGGGGCTTGACATGTTTCAATGATCTCAGAACTAGGGGAGGTTAACAAAGCTTGGGAAGAAGTATGTACCACTGATAGTGGACACAAAGAATGCAGAATTTACAGGCCACAAGGACATTTGGCAGAACTCCCAAGATAAGGAAGAAACTAATATCTCAGCAACTGTGCTGAATCAGCTCCGACTGGGTAAAGGTAATTCCGGCAGGGGGAGATCATGACCACCAACTCACAGACCACCAACTCAAGAAACCCACCAACTCAAAAGAAGAGAAAGACTGAGCATGTGGATTAATTAGCATGAGAAGTGAGAGAATAAATAACCAATAGAACATAGAATACTAATTAATAAGAACTATGT